CAGAAAACAGTTATTTTATTGTTAACCAGAAAATCATTTTACAAGATAATTTTGAACAGCATATTAGCCAACATTAGCATTAGCTTTGATCTCTGTTAGATACTCTTGCTAATAGCACAACGCTAACAATCATCTACTTTCTTTAAACACGCAAACATTTATCCTGTCATGAAAGTAGTCAATAAAGTAACTAACAACAAAAATCCATTTGTTTTTATACACTAGTGGCAGAGAAGCTGTAGCTAGCTGGCTAGCTCTTTAAGCTAACTTTAGCTCCATGAGTCGCAAGAAAGCATCTGTTACTGTTTTTTTAAAAGGAGAAATGGACGTGTTAAAACTTTACATTGTGCTATAGCTATTTTATTGTAATATAATCAGTTTCTTCACATTGGTTCACGTTTTTGTATTTACGTAAACATGCCTGTTTTGACTACCAGCTAGCCGGACATGCTAACAACTGAAGTTTGTGTTAGAACACACTTTATTCCATTCCTGACACTTTCTATACACTGCTCTCGTGTTTTATGTTCATGACGAGGCAAAGTAAACAAAGTTTGCCACTAATGTGTAATTGCACAGTCACTGTTGGGGTTTAGCGACCAATAGGAAATCTATAAATGAGAGTGAAAAGAATCCAAAAATAGCATGTAGTCTGCAAAATCCAGTCATTAAAAGTATCACGCTGGGTCTGTTCTGGCCTTATTTCTGTGCTGGCCAGCTGTCTTTAATTAGCAGGAGGTCCGTTAAGCAACACGCTCCAAACGTCTTGGATAGACGCCGTTGTCAACCCCCAGCCACAACACTGACTCAGCCAAAAGCCCCCCTGACAGCACCCACCCAGCCACCCACCCACACTCTGGCCCGGCCAGAAACTCTGCCGTGCCGTGTTTGGTGTAAAAACAAATTCCCTCAGTGTAATCGCAAGCTGAGCTAACAGTTTTCAATGAGTTGTCCTTCACCGTTGTCCCGTCCAGCGACACCTCTGCGTTCCTGACAGCCCTGGCGACCACTCAGCCTCAGTTATTGTATTTCGGTTTGGCCCGGTTGCCTCGACTCAGCGGGGAGTTTGAGAAAATACCGCCGTGGTTGGCGAGGGAGGAGCGGAGGGCCTCCTGGCGGGTTGGAAATTGGGTATGATGATGAGAGATGTGGCATGCAGGGATGGATTTTTTTAATTCTTTAAATTTTATCCCATGCAATGTCCACATGTGCTGGCGGGTTTCAGGCGTGGCTTTGGACACATGAAATGGGGAAGGCACAAAGTCAGGGCGCTCCAACAATAACTGCGGAGGGTGGAACAGCAATAAGCATCGTGTCAGATGTGTGTGGGCAGTGGGAGAGCCTATTTGAACAAGGCAGTGGCGTTAAACCGGCCTGTGAAGCAACACAGTGAGAGTTACACGTTGTATATGTTCATATGATTATAAAAGGGAACCAGACAAGTGATGGGCCGAGCTCGAGAGGATTTTATGAAGTCAAGTGAGCAGCAGTGGAATGCAGCTCCGTACATTCAGTGGAGTACAAATTTACAGTACTTGGAGCTCACTCATGCTAAAATATGTGATGGGAAGTCATCAAAACTGCTCCAAATTGGCATAAATGTGATTTTTAAAATGCTATCACACCAAACAAATACATTTAAACTGCATTATGTAGGTTTTATTAACAGTGTTATTTGGAAAGTGAAACCAGCAGCTAAAATCTTCCTGATAAGTTGCTCTAACATAAAATTCAGGACAATCATTGTGCTTGATTTTAACATATGTTCAAATTTAGGTTGTAACCAGATGGCACATTTCTTCTAATCTAACAATTTACTTTATTCTAGTTGTGCTGCTGCTATGCAATAAGTGTGCTCATGTTGTTATTCAGCCTTCCTGAAAGCATCATAAAGCTCTGGGGCCCATTGAAAACATTTTTTTTATTTTTTTTTGCTAATGATTAATTGTATGGATTCAATTAGGTGCTAATAATTTAAAAAGTAGTTATTTGGAGATATTGAAGGGGAAAAAAAGAGATTGTGCTCAGCTTGTATACTTCTAAGTGCCATATTCCAGCCTTTTAGTCGTTTTCGTGGAGCACATCTTCTTCACAGTTCCTCATGATTCTGACTGCATGTTTGCATCCCAGCTCCCGACTCTGCCCCGCTTTGTTTTTGTCATCGTTTGTCACACAGATTCACCCACTTCCAAATATCTAATCAGCCCTGTTGTGGTTTTGGTTTTGTCCACTGTGTGCCACTTTGGCTCACTTGTCTGTTCCTGTTTTCTATCCACCTTCCTATTTGCATCTTAAATAACCCACTGAACTGATCCCGCCTGCCTTGTTGCTTCTTGTCAGTTTGGGGCTCGTTGTCTTGCTGCAGAATGGATTTGGAAACAAGAAGATGCCTCCCTGATGGTGCTGTGGGATCTAAACATCTGTAGTGTCTCAATTTTTTTGCACAGCACCGTCTATGAGGAAGACCATTTCCAAAAGACACGAGTATTTCCATCATTTTTTCTTGTTAATTAAAATTATAGCAACTTCTCTGAAACTCATCGTAGTAATTAAACTCAAACAGCTGTCTCGGAATATTATCTTCTGGAATAAAATGCCTTCATAAGAATGATTTCTGCCTCAGCATGAATTACAATTAGGGACTAAATAAATAATGAATCTCGCTGAATTAGAATGACATCATGACTCGATAACACCAGAAAATCCCTAACAAATGATCCTTTTCCCAGCCTGACATGTTCAGACTCGTGACCTCAGCGCTACCGTCCTGGGAAACGCCTGTCTGGCCACCACTCTGCACAGACACGGTTCGTTTTCTCCTTCGTTTTGCACAGCGTTTCTCGCAGATTCTCACGTGCAGCCTCTAAAAAAACAAACACGCCGTCTCCTAATGATGTCCCTCCCCGGTTTTTCTCACCCACATGCAAACCCCGCCGCCACATCGGCCAGCCCGAGCGGGAATCGTTTGTTTGTGGAGTTCGGGGGGAAAGATGTCATGATGTCACCACCAGAAGGCCGGCAGTTTTTTCCCCTCCTGCTCCTCCTCGGTCCTCCAAGCTAAACAGATGAGATCAACTCATCTTCCCTGATGTTTCTGTCTCTGTCTGAAACAATCAGATGCTAGCACAAGCACATCTGCATCAAAGTGTCTGCTGGTGCTCTCAGAGGGCCAGAGTTTTGTAAAAATACTGAATTTCTACTTCTTATGGACAAGAAATTTCTTCCACCATGATGATGAAGCTGCAGATGTAATCCTGCCTGCTGCTGATAAATTATGAATTCATCCCGATGAGGACACCCG